CGCCCCCCGCCCCCCCCCCCTCCATGAAAGGGCTGAGAGCTGCTCTGCCATTAAACTTGTTACCACCTGAGGGCGCTCTGCTGATGCGTGCCTCCAGTTCCAGGCCCTGTGGCGGTCCCCTCCCACCTTGCCTTCCTTACCCTTCTGGGCTGCGCCAGCGCCTAGGGAATTGCGGTCTGTGCACTGTCCCCTCCCTCTGTGCTGTGGCCGGGCTGCGCTTCATGCCCTGCCTGGGGCTGCTCACTTAGTGCTGCCTTTGCTTCCTGTCACTAAGCCCTGGTCCTAAAGCCATTGTCATCCCCGTTGTCCATCCCTGCTGTATTGATCTCTGCAGCCTGAGGGGCAGCGACTGCCACCGTCGTGGGGCTGTGGGGCAGTCAGTAGAAGGCAAGGCCCTGGTTCCCGTGCCACGTGGACAGGAAGAAAAGCCAGTGGCAACACTGGGTGTCTAGGAGCAGGAGTCGCGGGTAGATGATGCTGGCTCCAGACCCATGGGGCCATCTCCTGGCTGCTGAGATGTCTGTGACTGGCCCGAGGGCCACGCTGGAGGGGGCTCTTTGGCTGGCCCAAGTCTGTTCTCCGGCCCAGGGGCAGGGGCGGGGCCCACTGAGTGTGAGCTGCAGCTCTGGTGCTCTTAAAGGACCCAGACAGGGTGGGGACTGGGCTGGAGCTGCCCCCTGAAGCTCTGTGCTTTCCCCTTTGTGCTCTTTGTGTGTCTGGGCTGTGCCCGGGGCTTCACAAATAAAGTCAAGTCATGTGTGGCAACTGTGGAGACTGAAAAGTCTTTCAACCCTTAAGTGGGCGGTTCTCAGGGCCTTAATGCCCAGAGTCCCACCTCCGTCTGTACGGGGTTGTCCATCACCAGAGGAGCTCCTGTGCCAGCCTTGTCCCGTGGGGCAGCCTCTCCTGCCCAGGCCCAGATGTATCCAGTTGTGCCAGCTCCCCTTTTAACAGCTGGCTGGTTGGTGCTCAGCAGGGGACAGCCATTCCTGGGGGCCAGGGAGGGTGGGAGGCCCTTCCTCTCTGGGCACTGAGGGCCCTGAATTGGGCCTGTTTCCATCTGCTCAGCACCATCTTACCCTTGACCTAGCCTTTGGGCTGCTGGCCCCTGCATCACTCCATTTATGGACCTAAGCCAGACACTGTCCAGATTTTGCCACAAAACCCACTGGCTGCACAGTCAGGAGCCTCCTGGGTCTGTCTAGCAAGGTCACCTTGTAGGGTTGAGCTTGTCTGGGAAGCCGCCACAGGGTATCAGGCTCCAGGGCCTGGAATGGAGGGCACCTCCCTTGGGGGCCTTCCCTCCTCCCTTTGCTACACGTGGTACGAGGACAGCTAAGCAGACCCTCCTTAGGGCCCTCCTTAGACAGCAGGCACACTTGGGGAACCCGTGTCTCCCACAGGATTGAAGAGACCCCTTCAAAGTTTCTTTAAGGGACAGCGCTTCCTTCTTGGCTGTGGACCACTCAGGCAACATCTTTTTTTTTTTTTATTGTTTTTTTTAATGTTTTATTTCTTTTGAGAGAAAGAGAGTACGAATTGGGGAAGGGCAGAGAGAGAGGAAGACCCAGAATCTGAAGCAGGCTCCAGGCTCCGAGCTGACAGCACAGAGCCTGATGTGGGGCTCGAACTCACAAACCGTGAGATCATGACCTGAGCTGAAGTCGTCACTTAACCGACTGAGCCACCCAGGTGCCCCTTTAATGTTTATTTTTGAGAGAGAGACAGAGCATGTGTGGGGGTGGGCGCAGAGAGAGAGAGGGAGACACAGAATCCAAAGCAGGTTCCAGGCTCTGAGTGGTCAGCACAGATCCCGATGCGGGGCTCGAACCTGCAAACTGGGAGATCATGACCTGAGCTAAAGTCAGACACCTAACCGACTGAGCCACCCAGGTGCCCAGGTAACATCTTTCTTGACCAGGTGGTGGAGGAGATGCCCGTGCCTTGCCCTCCTATCCTCCATGTGAGGCGATGTGGCAGAAGGCGGGTGGATGTCCAATTGACCCCCACCCCTTTGTTAGGCCCTGTTTTGAGCTCTGGGGCCACAGCCGCAGCTTTGGGCGGGGGTTCCCACTGTGGTGTAGGAGACCAACAATGGTGGTCCAGTGTCAGAATGGTGGGCAGTGAGGCCAGGGAAGTCTTAAAGAGTTAGGGATGCAAGACCTGAGTCTTCACATTCGAGTACAACTTCTCACGAGTGATAATTGAACAAAAGGAGAGACTGAGGTTCAGGGCTGAGTTGGGGCCTGGCTTTTCCCTCCAGGCTGCCTGGAGCTGGCCCTTGGTGCCTCCCAGGTTACGTGAGTGTGAGCTTCGGTCTGAGAAGAGCCCCACAGATCTCACTTAACCTTGCAGCGGCTCAGCACTCCTGGCTTCTCGGGGCCACACACTGAGGAGAATCCTGTGGTCCCAGGAGTGTAGGCCCAGCCCTACTCGGTCCTTCAGACCAGCTCCAAGGTCAGGTCTCCACTGTGTACCGAGAGAGCTGTGTAGCCTTTGGAATTTTTCTGACTCAGATGCTCCCAAGAGCTACAGCTAGTCCCGAGACTGCACAGGCTCCAGGTCCCTGAGCACCATGACTTGGAATCTGCAAGGGCAGAGGTGCCTCAGCCTAGATGGTGCGTAACCGCCACGTGTGAAAGGCCCGCTCAGCACCGGGCTGTTCTCACAAAGGGAGTTCAATCATGGGCTTGGGGCTAAACCAGCAATAGTTCCATTCTGAAGCTCAAACTAGTAAACCCCCAGGAAGCATGGCCAAAGGGTCTCCCAAGCAGCACTTCCTGACAACAAGAACCCAGAAAGGCCTCTGGCCAACATCAGGAACACGGGTCAGATGCAAAGCTATGCAGTATAGGGTTGGAAGACTGAGAGCCAACGCATCAGCTCTAGCCACATGCATACCACGGATGAATCCGGATGTCGGGTGAAGATCTTCAGCATATGCTTGTATGTGATAAACCCTGCATTCAGGGTGGGCGGTGGTCTGGGGATGGCAGGGGCCAGGATGGGGTGGAAGCACAGTTGTTTGCAACGTTCAGAGTGATCCTCATCCATCCATTTACCAGCCATAGTTTTTTTTTAAGGAAGTAGAACACAAGAGCATTTAAAAAAAATTTTTTTAGGGGCGCCTGGGTGGCTCAGTCGGTTGAGCGTCCGACTTTGACTCAGGTCATGATCTCGCAGTTTGTGGGTTCGAGCCCCACATCAGGCTCTGTGCTGACACCTCAGCCTGCAGCCTGCTTCGGACTCTGTGTCTCCCTCTCTCTCTGCCCCTCCCCCGCTTACATTCTATCTCTCTCAAAAAATAAATATTAAAAAAAATAATTTCTTAAATGTTTATTTTAATTTTGAAAGAGAGAGAGCACGTGTACAAGCTGGGGAGGGGCAGAGAGAGGATACCAAGCAGGCTCCACGATGTCAGTGCAGAGCTCGATGCGGGGCTTGATCTCATGAATTGTGAGATGAGACATGACCTGAGATGAAATCAAGAGTCGGACACTTAACTGACTGAGCCACCGGATGCTGCAACACAAGAGCATTTTCTGACACGCCAAAAGCACAAGCCACAAGGAAATTTGCCTCTGTCAAAATAGAAAGTGAATAACAACCAAAAATACCATGAGAACTGGCAAGGTGATAAAGTACAAAAAGACACTGTGACTTACATATAAGAGTTAGTGTTGAGAATAATACATAAAATTGAAAACTGGGCACAGAATATGAACAGAGTTCACAGGTGATGAAGTGTGAAAAGCAAACAACGTTACTGGTATTTAAGGAAATGAAAACAAAACCACAGAGGCATCATTTTGGACCAGACTGGCAAATGTCATGTAGAGGTGACATCAGGAAAGCAATGAATCTCCTACATTTTGTATGTTGCTGGAGGGATGTCAAACTAATAAAACCACTTTAGATAACAATTTGGCAGATACTAAAAAAGGTGAGGGTATGTGTAGCCTGTGACCTCAAATTCCATTTCTAAGGATCTACCTTAGAGAAACCGTTTTGTGTGTATACGAGGCGACAAATTATAAGGGCAACTTAATAAAGGATTCCAGGAAATTAATAACCTAAATGTCCATTGGGAAAAGAATGGTTAATTACAGGGTGTGCATGCAATGAGATAATCAGCAGTTAAGGGGCGCCTGGCTGGCTCAGAAGAGCACGCAACTCTTGGTCTCGGGGTTGAGTTCGAGCCCCATATTGGTTGTAGAGGTTACTTAAAAGCTTAAAAAATTTTTTCTTAATGTGTGGCAGTGAATACAGCAGATGCAGGAGCTGTCTGCTTTCATGTTAATAAATGAATTTCACTGAGCGCAGAGTGTGATGTGAGGCTCAAACTTTCATGAACCATGAGATCATGACCTGAGCCCAAGTCAGATGCTTAACCAACTGAGCCGCCCAGATGCCCCGATTGTATTAAGTAATCTCTACACCCAACATGGGGCTGGAACTTACGACCCCAAGATCAAGAGGCACATGCTCCACCGACTGAGCCAGCCGGGCACCTCTGCAATATATATTCTAAAATAATTCAGAGGGGCTCCTGGGTGGCTCAGTCAGTTAAGGACCCAACTCTTGGTTTCAGCTCAGGTCATGATCTCATGGTTTGTGGGTTCGAGCCCCACAACGGGCTCTTCACTGACAGTGTGGAGCCTGCTTGGGGTCCTCCCCCACTCTGCCCCCACCTGTTCATGCTCTTTCTAAATAAACTAAAAAAAAAATTCAGAATATATAGAGTTCCTACAAGTTAATAAGACTATAGGAAAACTAACAAAAGGTTTGGGGGCTTCACAATAAAGCATATGAATAGGTGCTTACTTTCATTAGTCTTCAGAGAAACGCGCATTCGAATCATCCCGTAATGCTGTCCTACCCTCACTAGGATGGCTAAGGTACAAGACAGACCATAGCAAGCACTGGTGACAGTGTGGAGCAACGGAAGTCCCACACTGCTGGGGGAAAGTGTAAATCGGTACAAACACTTTGAGAAACTTTGGCAGTATCCACTGAAGCTGAAAATAAGCATATTCTAACACCAGAAGTTCCACCTGTAAGTATATCCCGACAGAGACAGGTCTCGCCATGTTCTCCAAAAGACACGCAAACATGGAAAACAGCGCTCTCCATAATAGCCTCACCCTGGAAGCAACCCAAATGTCCAAGAGTGGAATGGATTGTTGCCTGGGTGGCTCAGTCAGTTAAGCGTCCAACTTCAGCTCAGGTCACGATCTTGTGTTTGTAAGTTCGAGTCCTGCATCTGGCTCTGTGCTGACGGCTCAGAGCTGGAGCCCGCTTCGGACTCTGTGTCTCCCTCTCTCTCTGCCCCTCCCCTGCTCGTGCTCTCTTTCTCAAAAAATAAACATTAAAAAAAAAAAAAGGTGGAGGTGAGAATCCTCCGCCTAAGCAGGGAAGAATATTTTAGCATTGGCGTTGTTTAGAATCGTCAGCCAGCACGTGATGACAATAAAAAGCAAACCAGTGGGTCTCATTGCATTGAAGTTCCCTACGGACAGCACACCCCCTTATTGCCTGCATCTGGGGCAGATGGCTCTCCTACCTCTGCCCCCATGCCACTGCTGTGGACTATTTATGGAATGGAGTGCTGAAATGGTATATAAAGATGAAAATAAACACATTCTTAAAATATGCATCACAGATGAAGCCCACAGACATAATGTCGAATGGAAAAAAAAGCACCTACAGGAGTTCACACTCAGTGATGCCACTGGCATGAGATCTGCTGAGTGAAATAAAGCACATACAGAAGTCTGTGTGGTGTGGCGCCATTTCTGGTTCAAAACAAAACCAAACCCAAGCAAACTGAATAATGACAGAAGCAAATGCACCAGAAACATGGATCTGAACAATCCCAGGATATGTTGAAGTTTGCTATGATTGAGATGAACTTTGCAAGTGTGTCCAGGAAGGTAAGTATTTGGACATTGTTTTTGCAGTATCGTTTGTAACAAAGTTGGAGGCGACCAAAATCTCCAAGATTAACGGATAAGTGGAGTTGCCACCTGTATACAATGGAATATTAGACAACAGTTAAAACACGACTAAGAAGAATCAACCAGGATCACTCCTGATAATTTGATGTTAGGTGAAAAAAAATTGCAGAATATTGTCTGTACGGTGTTAAACACTGTATGTAAATGTGTGAAGCAGAAAGGACTGAGGTAACCATTCTTGAGCACCTACTATGTTCCAGGTACCTTCCTGGACCCCCACGGCAACCCTGTGAGCTACTTACTAATACTGTTTTTCACAGAGCAGGGAACTGAGGCTAGTGAGGGGCAGCCCGACGGGACAGCCCACAGCTGGGAGGGAGCCCAGGGCCGAGACCCACAGGCTGGCCGCTAGAAGCTCCCTGCCAGCCAGCCCGGGACCAGCTGCCCAGGCTGGGCTCTCAGGCCCGGGCCACCATACGGAGCCCTGAGCCGGCGCCGGGCAGGAGGCCCTGTAACTCCAGCCGCCGCTCCCGCCCCTGCCCGCCCCTCCTTCACCTCAGCCTCCGGCTGGACTGCCCACAATGCCTCCCATTCAGCCCTGTCCCTGCTGCCAGGCCTGCGGGCCAGAGAGGGGGGCTCCCGCGGCATCCAGGCCGACTGGCAGTGTGAGCCGGACGGCATGGAGGGGTGAGTGTTTGGGACCTGGGGGCAGAAGGGGGTGTTTAGAGAAGCTGAGGGGCTGCGGGCAAGCTCCTGGCCCTCTCTGGGCCTCTGAGGGCTTGGGGGACAGGGGCTATGGGATCTGCTGGGGCGAGAGATCCCCCGAGGGTGTCCCTGAAGCAGTTTCTGAGGAAGATGGTGAATGGAGTGCAGCTGCTCCAGCGAGCTCCCGTGGGCTAGTCCTCCAGGGCTTGTCTGAGAGCTCAGCAGGCCTCTGAGCCCTGGACACTTGTCCCTGAGGGATCTGCCCCCACGGGCCCTGTCCCCTGTCCACCCGGAGCCTCGGCCTCACCCCAGGCTCTGGAGGATGTCACCGGCCCCGGCCTTCTAGAAGACTGAACAACAGATGGTGACCATCGGTGAGCAGAGCTGGGGAGGCTGAGGGTGGAGGCCCGGCCCAGAGGCTGTGATGTGAGCTGAGAACAGAAGGAAGAGCTGGGCGAGTTAGGTGTCGGGTGGCGAGGAGGAAGGTCTGTCATGTGTGTTTATGGTCAGGGAGCTGAGGGTGACACTGGACAATTTGAGCACATTCCAGGTGGGATCAGGAGTCAGGGCTTTCCACCAAAGGCCGTGCAGAGATGCTGGAAGGTTCTCAGCTGGTGGCGTCAGGGCCCATCTGCATTTTGGAAAGTTCCCTCTGGTTGGTGGTGGGCAAAGCATGGGGTGGGGGAGCCAGGAGAGCCCTGGGGCACAGTCATCCCTAAGAAGTGACAAGCAGTGGGTGTAGTTGTGAGGCCAAGGGGTCCACTTGGGTAATGGGTGGAGAAGTTGGGGGACGATGGACAGGTAAGGGGACAGAGCTGCCCAAAGCACAGCCCAAGCCCGTCTGTCTGCTCAGCTCCCCCACCCCAGTCTGAACTGGAGCGGTGGCAAAGATGAAGGGACAACAGGGGCATAAACAGAGGCCCAAGCCTCCTGCTCACCTGCCAATTAAGGCTCCCTGAGGCTCTCAGACCCAATATCTGGTCCCCCAAACCTTGCCTTACAAACTGGGGCCTGGCCTAGTTTCCCCCTGGCTGCCAGGCTGTCTTCTCACTGTGGGTGCCTGTATGCTCCCTGCCACCATGGAGCTGGCACCACATCTGTCTGAGGCCTGGCTGCCTCTCTCTCTGCCACCCTGACACTGGGAGGCCCCAGCCTTCCCCTGGACCCCGGAGCCTCACCACAGCCCGGCACACCCTCTGAGCCCTTGGCTCATCCTCACATTCAGCAAGTACTCATCGAGCCATGGGGCAGATAGATGGTCGAAGGGACTTGCCAGGTCTCCTTTCTGAGCCTCAGTTTCCTCCAGCGTTAAACCAGGCTAAGAATGGAGCCTCTGCTGCACGGGGCATCGTGAGGCTCAGGGCAATGACACTTTCCTGGGGCCAAAGGAGAAAGACATCCGAGGGGCTCTGGAAACAGGAGCTGGGCTTGGTGAAAGGCCAGCGTGGGACATCTGCCCCCGTGAACTGACCCTCCCTCCCCCTCCCAGGACCCAGAGTGTCTCCTTGGTGCTGCTGCTTCCCCTGCTGCTGCCACCAGGCCCAGCTTGGCATGCGGCTGCCCAACGCTGCCCACAGACGTGCGTTTGCGACAATTCCAGGTGGCATGTCGCCTGTCGGCACCAGAACCTCACTGAGGTGCCAAACGCCATCCCTGAGGTCAGCGGGGTGGGGGGGGGGTGGGCAGGGAGGACAGCAGGGGGAACCTGGGTTGGCACCAGTGGATCTGTCTCTGCCTAACTGGGAGACCTTGACAAGTCATTTTTCCTCTCCGAGCCTCAGTCTTCACGTCTGTAACATGGGAATAACAACCAACACTGGGGAGACGACCTAGTTAAAGTTCTATGTGTTTGGAACAAGTAGGCGACCTGTAAGATAAGTCCTGGATGAACTACAAAGCATGTGGGAGAGAAGTGGAGAGAACAGGGGATATGCTGGAATAAGATACGGTCTCTGCTCTTTGGAGTCAGGAACTAGTGGAGAGGAGAGAAAGTACACGGGCAGGGACAGCTCAATGTGAAAAGCGCCCAGGTGGCTAAGGAGGAAGGCTTCCTGGAGGAGGTGTCAGGGAGCAGGATGAAGAGAATGAGGGAAAGGTGTGGGGGAGAGGAGCGTCCAGGTGAGGGAACAGTGCGTGCCAAGGCCAAGGTTGGCAAGGCGCGCGGGCCGCTCAGCCTCCCCCCTGCTTCTCCCCGCTCAGCTGACTCAGCGGCTGGACCTCCAAGGCAACGTGCTGAAGGTGATCCCCCCAGCTGCCTTCCAGGAGCTGCCTTACCTGACACATCTGGACCTGCGGCACTGCCAGGTGGAGCTGGTGGCCGAGGGCGCCTTCCGGGGCCTGGGCCGCCTGCTCCTCCTCAACCTGGCCTCCAACCGCCTGAGCTCGCTGCCCCAGGAAGCCCTGGACGGGCTGGGCTCACTGCAGCGGCTGGAGCTGCAGGGGAATATGCTGGAGGAGCTGCGGCCGGGCACGTTCGGGGCACTGGGTGCGCTGGCCACCCTGAACCTGGCCCACAACGCCCTCGTCTACCTGCCCGCCATGGCCTTCCAGGGGCTGACGCGCGCCCGCTGGCTGCAGCTGTCCCACAACGCGCTCAGCGTGCTGGCCCCCGAGGCCCTGGCCGGCCTGCCCGCCCTGCGCCGGCTCAGCCTGCACCACAACGAGCTGCAGGCCCTGCCGGGGGCAGCCTTGGCCCAGGCCCGCGCCCTGGCCCGGCTCGAGCTGGGCCACAACCCCTTCACCTACGTGGGTGAGGAGGACGGGCTGGCGCTGCCGGGCCTCCGGGAGCTGACGCTGGACCACGGCGCCCTGCAGGCCCTGGAGCCCAGGGCCTTCGCCCGCTGCCCGCGCCTGCACACGCTGGACCTCCGTGGGAACCAGCTGGACACCCTGCCGCCCCTGCAGGGCCCCGGGCAGCTGCGCCGGCTGAGGCTGCAGGGGAACCCTCTGTGGTGCGGCTGCCAGGCCCGGCCGCTGCTCGAGTGGCTGGCGCGGGCGCGTGTGCGCGCGGACGGCGCGTGCAGGGGCCCCCGGCGCCTTCGAGGCGAGGCCCTGGACGCCCTGAGGCCCTCAGACCTGCGCTGCACCGGAGGCAGGGCGGAGGACGAGGAGGAAGAGCTGCTGCTGGCAGCCGCGCGCCCCCGCGCCCCCGAGGGCGCCTCCAAGGGGGACGACGGGGCGGCCGAGCCCTGCCCGCGGGCCTGCGTGTGCGTCTCCGAGTCCCGGCACAGCGGCTGCGAGGGCCGAGGCCTGCAGGCCGTGCCCCGCGGCTTCCCCGGCGACACCCAGCTCCTGGACCTGAGGCGGAACCGCTTCCCCGTGCTGCCCCGGGCGGCCTTCCCGGGCCTGGGCCGCCTGGTGTCGCTGCACCTGCAGCACTGCGGCATCACGGAGCTGGAGGCGGGCGCCCTGGCGGGGCTGGGCAGCCTGATCTACCTCTACCTCTCTGACAACCGGCTCTCGGGCCTCAGCGCTGCTGCCTTCGAGGGGGCCCCCCGCCTCGGCTACCTGTACCTGGAGCGCAACCGCTTCGGGCGAGTGCCGGGGGCCGCCCTGCGCGCCGTGCCCGGCCTCGTTTCCCTGCACCTGCAGAGCAACGCCGTGGACCGCCTGGAACCCGGGGACCTGGCAGGCACGCAGGCCTTGCGCTGGCTCTACCTGAGCAGCAACCGCATCGCCCAAGTGGCCCCCGGGGCAGTGGGCCCGGCTGGAGAGCTGGAGAAGCTGCACCTTGACAGGAACCAACTGCGAGAGGTGCCCACTGGGGCCTTGGAGGGGCTGCCTGCCCTCCTGGAGCTGCAGCTCTCGGGGAACCCTCTCGAAGCTCTGCCGGATGGGGCTTTCCGGTCTGTGGGCCAGTCACTGCGGCACCTCTTCCTGAACAGCAGTGGCCTGGAGCAGGTGGGCACAGGGCTACAAGGGGGGAAGGGAGGAGGGCGGGCCACAAGAGGCCTCATGCAGCATGCGTTCACTCAACAAACCCTGCTGCCCCCACAGTGCCGGGCCTGAGGCTGGGGCGTGGTGACCCTGAGATAAGCCAGACACTACACCTGCCCCCCGCGCCCCCCCTCCCCGGCCCAGGGAGCTTAGGGGTGGTGACAGACCAAGCAGATTTCGGTGCCACACAGGCCTGCCAGGGAGGGTACCGCCTAAGCATGGAGGAAGGAGGAATGTGGGTCCATGCGGTTGTTGCACACTTTGAGGGAGGGCTGGAGCCACCAAGAGGATTTGCCTTTAGGGGGGCGTGTTCAGGCAGAGCAGAAAGAACCATGAACTGGGCCTCCGAGTGGCGTGCAAAGGGCAAGTGCTTTGGGATCAGACCAGCCTGGGTCTCCATCCCAGCACGGCCCTTACTGCCCTGGCCACCTTGGGTTCTTGGGCTCTCCGCCTCCCCTCTGCTGGGAGAGCACGGGGCTACCTCCCGGGCCTAGGGGTGAGACGGGCCCGGTAGGAGCTCACGCCGAGGCCTGGCGTCTCCTTGCAGATTTCTCCCAGGGCCTTCTCGGGCCTGGGACCCCGGCTCCAGAGCCTGTACCTACAGAAGAACCAGCTGCGGGCCGTGCCTGCCCTGCCTCATCTCAGCCAGCTGGAGCTCATTGACCTCAGCGGCAACCCCTTCCACTGCGACTGCCAACTGCTCCCGCTGCACAGGTGAGCTCCCCAGCTGGACACCCACCAGCTGCTCTCAGTCAAGCCCCCCCCACCCCCCCCGCCCTCTTCGCAGGGCACCGTGTCTGTGCCAGCCTGCGGCTTCCGGGGGGAGGGTGCCGCCAGAGCCCCCTGCCCTTCCCGAGGGAGCCAGAAGTGCGTGAGGCTTGGGGTAGACTTGTCTGGGCCCGGATTCCCTCATCAACAAAGCGGGAATGAGATCCACCCAGCCTGGGGGAGGGGGTGGAACCTAACAAATACTTGTGGGCATGTCACTGATTTCATAGGAGAGCAAAAAGAACTCAAGTCCTTCTCTGCGATTGACTTTGGGCCTGGTGACTTCTCTGTGCCATTCCCTCATCTGTGAAGGGGATGACAGGAACTGTGTCCACCTCATAGGCGTTCTTTGTAAGACTTACCTTGTCGGGGTCCCTGGGTGGCTCAGTCGGTTAAGCGTCCAACTTCAGCTCAGGTCATGATCTCACCGTTCCTGAGTTCCAGCCCCACATCGGGCTCTGTGCTGACAGCTCGGAGCTTGGAGTCTGTTTCCGATTCTGTGTCTCCCTCTCTCTCTGCCCCTTCCCTGCTCGTGCTCACACTCTTTCCCTCTCTCTCTTTCAAAAATAAACGTTAAAAAGTTAAAAAAAAAAAAAAAAAGGATTACCTTGTCAGCTAGCATATATAGGTTGATTTGAACATTGTCTGGAGCGCCCTAAGCCCTCTGTAACTATTTATTACTATTCCTATCCCCTTTTTACAGAGAAGGGATTTGAGGTTTGAAGTGACTTGCTCTGGGTCCCCTAATCAGTGACGGGCTGGGCCAGGGTTCCCTCCAGAGTGTGCCCTCGCAGCCGGTTCCTGAGGATCTCCTCTCCTCTCCTCAGGTGGCTCACTGGGCTGAACCTGCGTGTGGGGGCCACGTGTGCCAGCCCTCCCAGTGCCCATGGCCAGAGGGTGAAGGCTGCGACGACTGTTTTTGAAACCTGCCCAGGCTGGGCTGCCAGGAAGGCCAAGCGGACGCCGGCCGCCAGGCCCAGTGCCAGGAGCAGCCCCGGGAAGGGGAGACGATGGAGAGCAGACAAGGTTGGCAGGTTGGTGGGAGGCCTTGGTGGGTGGGTCAGGTTCCAAAGCCCCCAGGGTAGCAGAGATCTGACTTCTCTTGGTCCCAATTCATGTGGTTCCAGACCTGGGCAATGACTCTGCTGTTTCCATTCGGTCGTATCTGTCCCCGCTCCTCAGCTCCCCCACCTTTGGCTGGGCCCAGATGGGTTTGTGAGGAAACAACTGCACAATTTCATCCTGTGGGACGCTGGCCTTTCCGATAAGCCACAGAATACCTGGACCCAACGTGTCCCTAAAAGTAATGCCACCGTCACCGTATTTGCCGGATCATCGTTGATCCCACAGTTTCCTGACCTCCAGGGCTCACACCTGGGACAGAGAGAGCAGGAGCGCAGGGGCCGTCGTGGCCTCCCACTGCTCGCTGGCCACAGGCTGCACCCCGCTCCGTGTCGTTCCATCACCCGCCTGACATTTATGCTCACATCCTCGAGCCCCTGGTTGTAGCCAAGTTACGCAGCACATCAGAGAAGGGGGAGCAGGATCCGGGTGCCCTTGACCGTGGGAACTGCTGCTGTGTGGTGGGGGGGCAGTGGGGGCTCTAGGGGAGAGGCCAGTCCTGAGGAAAATGAGAACAGAAAAGTGGGCCCTGGGGAGACGAAGGCTCAGCCTGCCTCTGGACCTGCGTGGTGAAGACTTGGGGGGCCTGGGGTCCATTAGAAGGTGTATCAGTTCCCAGGGGCTGCTGTAAAAAAGTACCACACACTGGGCGGCTTAGGACAAGACATTTTTGCCTCACTGTTCTGGAGGTTCGAAGTCTGAGATGAGGGTGTCGCCGGTGGGGCTGTGCTCCCTCTGAAGGCTGCAGGGGAGAGCCTTCTGTGCCCCTTCCAGCCTCTGGTAGCCCCAGATGTCTCTTGGCTTGTGGTGGCACCATGCAGTCTCTGTCCGAGTTCATATGGAACCTCCCCGTCCCTTCATGTCTTCCTGCCAGATCCGAGTCCAAATTCCCCCTTTTCTTATGGGCAGGAGTCATACTGGATTAGGACTCAACCTAATGACCTTGTTTTAACTTGATTACCTCCGTGAAGACCCTATTTCTGAGGTCTCACTCTGAGGTACATCTTCTTTTTGCCGGGGGGGGGG